GTTATTTGTATGACTTGGACTTTCTGTCACTGTTGATAGAAGTAAATCCGGCCCTGCTTTCCCTCTAACACAGTATATTAACGCCGTCCATGTATCTATCAACTTAAGAAAAGAAGGAAACCCTTTGAAAAAGCACCTTATTGGTTATTTGTGAACCGTTGCACATTCCTTGTGCCAAACTACCACTTCTGCCCAGCTCTTTCATTTGAATTTAGATATACTGAACACATTTGATAGTATATTTAACATAATCGTATTGTTATTTTCCTACAAACAGCTTTCCTTTTCATTAAGAAATATTCTATATATATATTTTCATATTTGCATTACAGTTTTCTTCTACAGTATACAGCTTTTATTTTTGTTCAGATATCAATTCATCTTTTAACATTTTATTACATTCTACATTAAGCTTTCTTGCTTTTTCTACTCGCTTACCTTTTTGTTTATTTCCACATACTATGTTTGTCTTGTAATTCCAAACCTTTTTGGCAATGAATCAGATTAGATCTTGTTCATGTGGAAGAACCTATATTTAATGTTAGTTTATCAGTAGTTTGGACAGAGGGAAAATGTGTCGGTTAATGACTGGACTTTGTCTGATTTGATAAATCACAGTTAAGAGCTGATAACTGATCAGAGCAACCAGACACAGAGAGAGAGAGAGAGTGAGTATCAGGATGAAAGGACATTGATAGATAGAGAATCAGCCTAGCACTGCATGATAAAGCTACTGCTGTTGGGCTGTAGTCAGTTACGCGGCTGATAAAGTGGATTTCATTGGCAGTCATTCATTACTATTACTTCTACTGACGACAAGTTGTGCTAGTGTTGTGTATGATAACATAGATTCAGTCAGAGCCACATGTTCCATTCTTATTGCATTTCCACTCAAGTATTATTGAATTTGAAGATACTGTGACGTGATCATCTGAACGCACTGAGCTGTGAGTCGAATTTGGTCTTGTTCTTCCCATAGTTGTCCCGATTAGAAGAAGAAGAAGAAGAAGAATTGTGAGGGATGAAACCCTCTTTAATGTTCACACGTGCAGAGCACACAGCACACACAGTGACATTTGGCCTCTGCATTTAACCCATCCTAGTACCAGGAGTCTAGTACTGGAGGCTGTGTTTAGAAAATTAACATTCAACTCAATCTTTATTCATCCCATATTGATACAGGACCAAGACCACCAAGCTCAGGGATAGGGTATGTATAAAACACACACTGTCTCATCTGTTTGCAGTCTACATATTTATTTATATATTCAAACTATTTGACATGCATATAGTTTACTTGTAGCTGCATGTAACTTACACTTACTGTGTACATTGCACTATTCAATTGTATTTCTATTTAATATATTGTATGTTAGGTTGTTGGAGATTTAAGATTGCCAAAACGATGTTATTGTGACTATGACAACAAAGCCTGTGGGGCAGCTTCAGGCAGTCTTTTGGGATGACTTTAATGCACATGTTCATATCACGTTGACGTTTAGAAAACAATTGATTGATCAGCACTCATTTTCAGACATTAGATGAGTTGTTTACACCTTGGCATATGGATGGAAAATCACCACTGTGAGCTGTTTCAAGTCTGGAGGTTCCTTTCCCCTGCAGGCAGCAGTCTGTCTGGAAGATTTCCAGCTTTTAGGAGATTAAAGAGCATTTTAGATTACAAGCCACGTCTTAAATTAACCATCATTTCACTACTGGTTGGTCATATTTTAACGTCATGTCTTTACAAATCATTTATGCACTTAAATCAAAGCATTCTGGCGTTTGATTTTTTTGTTGTTGCCATGTTTCTGCACAATTTCCCTTTTTAGGAAACTGATAAAAAGATAATAATCTTTTAATTCAACAACAATACAGTATGGCTTGATTGTAGTGTGTGTTTGTCTTGTGGACACTAGATGGTTGTAAGATATATATTCAAAATGTTGGCTTTTTGGGGGGGGGATTTCTTTACTCACTTGACTGTTATCTCTGAGATAGATTAGCAGGTAATACCTGTGTGCCTGGCTATTATATCTGCATAGCTTACTTACACAGTATGCATATATTTCATCAGAGGCACAAACACTCTAAGAGGCTGTTATTATCTGTGTTTGATGGATCATATTTGACCTGTTTTTAGCTTGTACATTTGTCCTGTTTTGTCCCAGTTTGCTGTTGTATTCAGGCTTTGGGAACCTGTATCTGTTTCACGGTGACGTTGTTGCTTTTGTGTAGATGCAGGATACTGTTTCAACCTGAGCTACTCTACTACAGTCTTCAGTCTCGAGGCATTCATCGGCCGTCTAATTTATTCATTGGTTTATTCATTCACCCTTTACATAGTTAATTCTTTATTCTGTCACTTACCACTATACGTGACTTATAGTTCATCCCACATGTTATTGTACTGGTTATGTATTGACTGTTTGTGCAGTACAAAAGGTTCATTATCTTTAAATCTAGACAGGACATACAGTATGTGGTAATTCACTCTTTAACCACGGGTAACAACAGGAAGTCGTTGTGCACAATGAGACTTCACTCGGCACAAAGTAATCGTTTCCTCCAGTCTCAGCCAATGCTACCATCCCCTCTTCTTGTTTCTCACTTGGTACATCCTTTATTCCTTTCCCCCTCTCTTTTCCTTGTGTCTTAGTCCCTCCCAACAGACGTCCAAACAGAGGTGGACATAAAGAGACAGCTGGCATTTAAGAACGAGACAATTGTGCGTTGGAGCTGCCATTTTTCACCGCAATTAAATATGACGTGTGGCACAGCAGCATCATCTGTCAAATATCACAAGCCTTTTATCCGTCAACAATGCTAAAAATAATTGACATAACAATAACGTTTTGCAAATAATACACCTGCGTGATACCTCTTGATAGCTACTCCTCTTAGATGCATTTTAGAAACGTTGTAATCTTTCAAGATGCTGTGCTTACTTACTTTTTCGGGTGTAAGGAGGACATGAGAAGTCCCATAAAGTAAAAAAAAGGACGCCATTCTTGTGATCTGACGCTCTTTGGATTAATTTAAAACGTATGTAATAGTTTAGAATATGCCCTTCTAAGTGTATAATAAACCGGACATTGTGTAAATATAACTTGACAAATCAGTTGGGTTTGTTTTAGCTTATTATGTGCACCTCTGTCAGCTTAGCTCTGGTCTGCACCGCTGCTGTTTGGCCACAGGGGGGCAGCAGAGCACTGTCAGTGAGCTGTAGCCTGTTAGTCAGAGCAGAAGAAGAAGCTTATACCTTTGCGGGAAACACCGCCGCCACCACTTAAGTTTAGTGAAGGAGCCAAGTACATCACGTTGAGAAGGTAGTTAATATATAAAATAAATATATATATATATATATATGTATGTGTGTGTGTAATTCTCATGTGGTGGTGAGTGTGGTTATGGGGTGCTTCAATTCAAGACATTATTGATAGAAAATGCAGCCATTAACCTAAAATGACACTAATTGGTGAAAATGAATTGTTTGTTTGTGTGGGTCTTGTTTGCTATAGTTGGCTTTTTGATGTGATAGTTTTATGACGTAGTCCTTAAAACAAAAATGCTACTCTTTTCATTATTTAACATTCTTTCATGTACAGTGTGTCTGTTTCACTCGGAAATGGCTGGGAAAGCAAAAAGACAATGAAAGCCTTTATTGTAATTTTAATTTTTTTAAAGTCTCCGCTAAAACACCGGGAACTTGTTATGTTTAATTTGACACACCTGCTGCTGATTGGGAGCTGGAGAGCAGAGCAGCAGCTGATTGGCTCTCTGAATCAAATGGTTTTGGAAGACGTTTGATTCTTTTTTTTTCTAAGCAGTGAGCTCATTCCAGGCTGACTTTTCTTTACACTTAAAAAACAACTAGTTTTGCTAAAGTTGTTGGATGCACATGTTTTGTATTTATAAACAATGTGTGGTATTTGTATTATTTTAAGACCACTTATTTCTATCGTGATACTGGATCCTTTTTTTTTTCAATTAGTTTTTATTTCATTCTATATGTATATCTGATGGCATCTGACTCATGTTGAGTCATATGAATATTTATATATATATTTTCATTAGAATCCTTAGATCCTTATACTCAAGGGACCACAATAAAAGCTTCACGTTGGGAATAGAAAATATACAATTGTCTATACTCAAAGCCATCATATAAGCAAACTGCAAGCAAAATATTTACCAAACTTTAATCGTAGCATGAAGACAGTGCCACAGGTCTCTAATAAGTCCTACGTAATATACCACTTTTTCTGTACTGGAATAATGCAAGATTCCTATTTAATATCAGCTGCACCAATTATATTTTTTAGGAAAATGGCACACACTTGAAACGCTCCCACAACCCTAGGCAACGGCTTAATAAGGGTTGGTCGCTTTATTAGATTAAATCTCTCTAAACACGGCTCACACCTCCTTGTTTAATCACTTTCAAAGCATTATCATCCTCTTATCTTGTTCCTTAAAGCGTCTTTTCCCACCTGGGAAGCTGAACTTAGCAAATGGATTCTACACAGGGAGTGTAAACAGAAAGTATGAGCTGTATGTAATTGGCTCTTGTTCCTGAAGTACCGATGTATAACCATTTTGTAGCTCTTGGGACACAAAAGCAGTTAGATATCCTCTCATGAAAAGTGTATTTTAAATATTTGTTCTGTGTGCTAGTGTCTAAAAATATATTCCTGATCAATGTGTTCCCTCATTTGCTCTGACACTTCTTACCTTCACTTATTACTGTTTAAGTGTAAATGGTTATGGCTCAGGGTTTAATGGGTGTCTACCAATCAGAGGGTCAGTGGTTCAATCCACAGCCCCATGCAGTCCACACGTCAAAGTGTCCTTGGGCAAGATACTTAACCTCAAAATTGTCCCAGAGGCATGTTACAGTATTGAATCTTCACTGCTTAGGATCAAATCGACAGCTTAATGACATGTGAAGTAAAAGTGTATAGACATTGTGTGTTAAACATGTCCTCTGTTTCTCTCAGGATGTTGCGGTTCACTGTAGTACGAAGCGGCCTCGGGATGCTGGCTGTGAGGAGGACCTGTGTGTCCCCACGCTTCTCCCACTCTACCCCGCAGAGCAACATCCGACCAATCAAGAAAGTGATGGTGGCCAACAGAGGTAAGACCTGTCCAATGGCAATAACTTACCCCAGAAATACAAGCAACTCAATAGCACTATTACATTTAATGCTGTTTCATTTATAATGTAAGAAATTACATTTACTATCTTCCCCAGGCAAAAGAACAGACTCTTAATTTTGAATGGCCAACATTTACTTTGATTTAGCTCATGCTAGCATCAGGTTTCATAGAGCCAAAACATTTCAAGTGCTACTCAACTAGCTTTAGATAAGCCAGTCCTTTATTAGTATATAAGTGCTTTGTTAGTAATTGTATCGCTCGAAGTGGAGTCGAAAGAGATGAGTTTTCAGTCTGCGCCGGAAGATGTGTAAGCTTTCTGCTGTCCTGATTTCAATGGGGAGCTCATTCCACCATTTTGGAGCCAGGATAGCAAACCGACGTGTTTTTGCTGATGGGAACTTTATATAGTAAAGCAGTACAGTGTTTTTTAGAATAATGGAATCTGCAAGTCTAAAAGATGTATGCATTATACTTTATTTTTATTTTTAATCCTCTATTTTTTTAAACATCAATTTTTGTAATGGACAAAAAAAAGTCAAAAGATGCTACTTAAAGATATTTTTATGTTACTTCTAAGTTATTTACCAGGACATATTGAAAACAGCTATACGACAAACAGTGTCTATAATTCAATTTGTTTCCCACATATTTGTTTGTCAGGCTGCCAGAAATCCCAATAATTGCCGTTTACTGGCATTGAGGTCTGAATGGACAAATAATTACAGAGGCGCTGAGTTTTCTAAACACTATGCAGTCACCAGTCTGCCGGTCGGACGCAGCATTAACATGTCTGACGTGCTCCAGTAATACTTGTAATCACCGGACCCTCTCGTAATAATGCTAATGCTGTCCAGAGAGGCCGTCAGTGTGCAATTTAAAGAAGCTCGGTCAGGATATGAGTGACAAATAAATACTTTTTTTTCCTAATGGCTTTTAGAGCCTCATTATATTCCTTCCCGAGGACACATTTAAAGTGCTTGATTTGCTTCAGTGTTTCATTATTTCAGATTTATGTTGCGTGGGTTCCCAATATGATTCCAATTGTGCACATGTGGTCCTTTTTGTAGGCCTCCTGCTGCACATAAAGTCTGCATTGCGCATACATTCATACATTCATGTCCACCCCCCCCATAAAGGTGCTATTTAACTGCTTAAATCCATCGGTGTGATTCAAATAGATTGTGTTTTCTCACACATACAAACACACACAGAGGACTTTCCGTCAGTCTCTCTCCTTCATATGGGCGTGATGCGATCTCAACACCACATTAGATCACATTCATCACACTGCAGTGCACTGGACCGGCTTCAGAGCATGTGTGTGTGTGTGAGATGAAAAGAGAGACTGGACCATCATATCAGCCAAGATTCCACTTCACCAAGCACATCTCCTCTCTGCCATTGCTTCAGTAATACTCTTCTTTCCTTTCCTCCTTCCTCTCCTCCCTCCCTCTGCACTCCCCAATGTTTTTACACTTGTCAGATGTGATTTTCCTCCGAACCCCTTGCTGTCTTCCTTCTCGCCCCTCATGACTTTGCTCCTTTCCTTTTAGCATGGCGTACTTTGTCTCCTCCTTTTTCTCTCCTTCACTGTGCCCTCTCCACTTATCATTCCACCTTGGTAAACCTGCCAACCTGTTTCTTTTGGTACCTCAATTCTTTGTCCTTTTTCTCTTTTTTTCCCCCTCAACTTTTTGTGTTTCCTCACCTTTGATCCATCACATTTTCTCTGTCTGTCTTCTCCTCTCCGTCCTTTCTCATACTTTCATCCTTTTCATGTTCCTACTGTTGTCCTTCTTCAGAATTCTCTTTTGCACTCTATAGATGTCTAAGCGCCGTCCTCCCTTTCAAGCCAGAACAACACATCTTACTAGTCTAAACCTTTTTTCTCTGTCAAAATGTGTGCTTTCAAAAAACCAAGTATTTGGCTCCAGTGACAGCAGATAAAAGCCAGCTAGTGTTTTGGTTGTCTAAATCTGAGATATTACACTCTCACACAACAACAAAAAACATTGACTTATTGCTGTGTCTGTTGATATTTTTCACAGCGTGATGAAGTATACCAGATGGATTTGTCTTGTTTTCACATCCAGTGTGGCATAAACAATTCAAAGTTTATTTTATTCTCTCAGTGGGGGTATTTCTTGCATAAAAGGCCCAGGATGTTGATAGAACCATACAACATGTGTTCTGATGAAAAATAGATCATGACAGATGAAGAACTACCTCCCAATACACACAATGTACTAAACTGTGGGTCAAAACATTTCAATAAATAAAGAGAATACATGTGAAGCAAAGAAGGAGCAACGTATAAGAAAATATTACTGGTGAATTATTAAAATTAACAACATTTGTCTTTTCTTCTAGGGGAAATCGCAATCCGTGTGTTCAGAGCCTGCACTGAGCTCGGGATTCGAACCGTGGCCGTCTACTCGGAGCAGGACACCGGACAAATGCACAGGTACTGAGCTCTGCCACATTTCAGCCAAATGGGTCCTCGGGGTTTTAAATAAAGAAAGCGTAACGGACAGATGTTTTTTAAACTGCTGCTGCCACTGCTGTATATCGAGCATGAAAGGCTAACAGTTGATGAGAGCCAAAAGCAATTAAAAGAAGCTTGGGAGCTTTTTTTTCCCACTCGAGCTGTTTAGGCCAGGTTTTCTTTTTGCGTCGACATTTTGAACATTCAGGCACACCCATCCTAATCTTCCTCAGCTTGTTCTATTTCACTCTGTGCAATATATTTGGAAAAGTCAGACTTGTAACCAATGACTGAATGGAGGACTTTTTTATTTATTGAACAGACTAAATACTGGTGCCTGCTCTCTGCTGAGCTTGCATCTGCTTCCATGACACTGCCTTACACTGATATGTATCCCTTTGTCTTGTCTTAACAGGCAAAAGGCGGACGAGGCTTACCTGATTGGAAAAGGCCTTGCACCTGTTGCAGCATACCTGGACATTCCTGACATCATCAGAGTGGCAAAGGTAACGGATGTTATAAAAAAAAAAACATGGATTTCCCACTAAAGGAAAGTCTACTGTTGTTTGCTTTAGCAGTAAACCAATAAAAACCTATCGTTTAAAGGGGACAAAGTGTGATTTGACGTTAGTTTCCTCATTTTGGTTAACATTACAGTGCTCATCCTCAGAGAGCAGATGTAATGCTTCATGGCTACTGCGGCCCAGGAAGAGCTTCTTAAGTATTAAAATATAAAATAAAATCTCCCAAGTGATGTCATTAGGGTTTTTCTTCAACTTGGGCTTTGAAGATTGCAAATTATTATCGTACAGCCAACGATAGAAACCGAGGATGAGGACTCTGAGATATGGGCATGCAATATTTAAATGTAAAATGACATAACAGGAGTGTAGGATCCAACACTTTTGGAGGAAAAAAAAGAATTTTAAAAGATATCTTGCTTTTTTTAACACTTTTCAATCTCATCTGAGAGAACAGATAAATGGGTTTCAAGTACTCATCTAGTGCCTTTTCATACAATAAAAGTATTGGGCTTTGGCTGCTCTTACAACAACATATAATCGGCATATGTTCTCTAGAGTAGCTTGCAATGTGTCGTCATTATTGGCTCCATCTTGCACTGAGAAGTGGTACAAATAGTACGAATGTAGATTAAATAATTCATCCCCCTTAAAGCTTTCACTTTAAAGAGTTTCTTCAATGAGCAAACGGTGTAAAACGACTTTTCTGCATGAAAAATGACTCAAAAGTTTAGTCCATTAGATGAAGAAGTTAGGTGAGTGTGCTCCCCTGATGTCTTGTGGTCGATGTATTTTCTTTCAATTTAGTTTATTGCCTTGGGTAGTCGGGTCGCTGCAATTGATACAGCTACACTTAATACAGCTACACTTAATGGATTGCAATGTCATGAAATTAGGCGTATAAGTGTCAGACAAATCCCTTTTATCGCTCTCCGTTTACACTTGGCTTGGTTGGAAGAAGGAAAAGGGGAAACGACGTATTTTATGTCCACTGTATCTCTTCCTTCCCATTGTTCCTCACCTCCTATTTTCCTCTTGCTGCTGCTTCCCTCTACCATTTCTCTCCTTTCCCCTATCACGCTTTACCTCTTTATAATTGCGTTGGATGAGATGCTGTGTTTCTTGTTAGCTCCCTCCCCTCCTCACCCTCCCCCTCCCTCCTGCAGGATGTGCTGCCAGTTGTTCATTATCGTTTCTCTGATCAATCTCTCGAGGTTTATAATTTTCTGCTTGGGCATGTGGTCAGCCAGCCAAGTCGGGAGCCTCCGCTGTCCAACTCATTTCTCAAAATCCTTCTGCCTATCTGGGAGCCTGGCCACCCCATGCCAGCAAAGGAGTGTGTGTGTGTGTGTGTGTGTGTGTGTGTGTGTGTGTGTGTGTTCGTTCTCACTCTTTCACATTCAGAGTATCCGTTGTTCTTCTTCACCACACTGCGTATCGCTCTGCTTCTGTCTGACCAAAATAACCATGCGTATCTGTCCCAGAACCTTCTGTGTGAGACATTGAATGCGAGAATGTGTCTTTCTGCTTGTAACTGTGAAAGCACGAGTGTATGATGATGCTTCTCTGTGTGTGTGTGTCACCCGGTGTGTACATCTTCTTTCGTGTCACTTTGTATTCATGAGTGTGAGTGAGCCTGCTTGCTGCATTTTGTGTGTGTGTGTGTGTGGCTCCTATCCTCCTCTGGCCTGCCAGTAACAGCTCCCTTAACAACGGGACAGCCCATAATTATAGTCCGCCTCGTATCCAAGAGCAGATGGCACACACTGATCCAGAGATGACTCTATCTGTCAGGCTAGGCAGCTACTGTATCTGCCTACTACCGTGTGTGTGTGTATGTATTCCTCTCAGTATCTTCCCCCTGACCCTTATATGATGTGTGCCGGCACTCGTTCAGTTCCCCTCCGGTGTCCATTGAGTAGATGATGATGAAGGCGATAGCAGCTAAGATAGAATGAGAATAGAGTATGTCATTATCTCACAGTCCCTTTGACGTTAGCATACGTCCCTTTGACGTTAGCATACATCCCTTTCCCCTGGCCAGTAGGCAGCGTGGAGTAAAGCGTGCAGGTTGGTGTGTGTGATGAGGACTCCCCAACAGTCAGCCAAGTGTTTACTGGGGCCCCCGCAGAGCCTCTGTATTTAACACGCCTGGTGCTTAGCGGGCTACATCTCCTTTCTCTGGGTTTCTTTCTTAGCTGTATAAGCTTTAGCAAGATGTGTTTTTGAAAGAAGTCATGTCTTATCCAACAGGTGCAAGATGAAGACTATAATAAATATGGATAAAGGAAAAACATCAATACAGCATAGTAGGTGAAATCAAAGCTCCATACTTGGGACACAAACAGTTGCTCTTTAATGAATAATAATATTGCTATCAAATGTACTCTTTTGTATTGGTAGGTTTTAGGGATTAGCAGGAAGTTCAACAAAACAATGGTGGAGACATCGGAGCAAACAAAATCACATATTAAATAAAAACTTGGCTATCTTATTTCAAACATATGTTGATCAACTGCATAGTTTGCTGTTGAAAAAAGGAAATATATTGCAGTATATGTTATTTGTATTGCATTACTCAGCATATTGCAACATTTTAAAAGTGCAATAACATCGTATTGTGCAGCCTACGCTAATTCCCACCTAATAATCATGTGAATAACCTTCTCTCCATGTCTCCCTCCCTCACTTCCTAGGAAAACAATGTGGACGCCATCCACCCCGGCTACGGGTTCCTGTCGGAGCGGGCGGACTTCGCTCAGGCCTGCCTAGACGCAGGAGTGATGTTCATCGGACCGAGCCCAGAGGTGGTCCGCCAGATGGGAGACAAGGTGGAGGCTCGGGCCCTGGCCATCAGTGCAGGTATGGAGGGGCAAAAAGTGGAGGAGATTCAGAGGAAAGACAAGCTATGATTGGAACACCTGTTGTTCATAATATGTACAGCATTTTACTCAAAATAACAATTGTAGAACCAAGACCATAGACAAGATGATTGTTATATTTCTGATTCTTGAAGTTTTATTTTATTTGAAATTTAGACCAAATTTGCCATAAACTCTGGTGCTTCTTGTCTTAACTACTCACTTCCCTACCAGTGTGGGATGAACTCTAAGCAACCTATTATTCCGCCTTGAACGTCATCAACCACCGCAAGAAACAATAAAAAACAAGCTCTGTTTATGTTGAGTTTAAAGCATCCTCCTCCTATTTTGCGTCATCAAGCTTTGAAACAAAAACTGACATTGTGAGACTTAATTGCAGTATGAAACCACTTTGTCTACAATCTTTGCTGAAAACCGCAACTAAAATCATTCAAAAACAAATATGCACTTTGCAACATTTCACTAAACATTATCAGACTAAATTGATTGCATATACTGTAGGGTACTTTGGTAATTCAATGCAACACCTGCTGTTTGGAGGTTTGGGGAAATGCATGCTACACAATTCAAAAATATAAATGCTTAGGCACTGGTGGAAAGTACATTACTCAAATATGCTACTTAAGTACAATTTACAGATACTTGTACTTGACCTGAGTATTCTCAGTTTATGCTATTTTACACTTTTACTCCACTTCATTAGAAACAAATAATATATATATACATTTATTATTGATGATAATATGATGATGATAGTATATATATTTATATATAAATTATAATATTTATTATTATATAAATTATAATATTTATTATTATATATTATATATTATTATATATTTTATATATATATATATATATATATATTATTTTGCTATATATATATATAGGAAGGCTGTGGCTGGCTCAGTGGATAGTGTGCTGGACTTCAAATCAGGGGATAGCAAGTTTGAGTCCCACTGCAGTCAGCATGTCGTTGTGTCCCTGGGCAAGACACTTCACCCCAAATTGCTCCTGTGGGGATTGCCCACAGTACTGAATGTATGTAAGTCGCTTTGGATAAAAGCGTCTAACAAATGACATGTAATGTAATATACCTTTTAGTCCACTACATTTATCTGACAGCTTTTAGTTACTAGTTACATTTTAGGTTTAGATTATTAGCTAATATAAAATAATTATTAAATAAACTTTGACATACTTACAGGTTAAGATATCCAGCAGCAGTATATAAAGTTACTCAAATTAGCTCCACCTTTACCAGCTGACATAGACATACATCGATAATCATAATGGTTACCCAGTAACTCAATATGATTCTGAAATGGGACATTATGCATAACGAGTACTTTTACTTTTGGTACTTTAAGTTCATTTTGATGCCAATACTTTAGTGCTTTTTTGAATGCAGGAGATTTACTTGTAACGGAGTATTTTTTAGATGTGCTATTGCTACATTCAAAAGTTCTTCTTCCACCATTGTGCTTGGGACATTCATTGAAATTGTAATGTTTCTCACTTATTTTCCCTCTTACCTGACCTAGGTGTACCTGTGGTCCCGGGGACCGCGTTTCCCATCAGCTGCCTGCACGACGCACAGGTGTTTGCAGAAACACACGGCTTCCCCATCATCTTCAAAGCAGCGTACGGAGGAGGAGGCCGCGGCATGAGGGTGGTCCGTGAGTACGAGGTGAGCCGTCATCGTCATTTTGCAGCTAGCTCTGACAAAATAAACATTGTCCTGTCGCATGTCCAGCAAAGACAATTCTAACCCAATTTATATCCTGCAAAATTAAGTTTTTCATATTCATTATTTTTCTGTTTGCTTTGAATCAAGGCGAAATGTCACGGAAATTACAACCTGGTCATTTATCTCTCCGGCCGCCAATCACCCTGTGTGTTTGGGTGTGTGTGATTGTGTGTTCTCTGAAATTGCTTCTGTCAGCTAGTGAAGCAGAGGACATTACAAAAAGAATGACTTTTTAATATTGTAGCTATCAAGGGGTCACATTTCCAATATGAATCTCAATGTAAAGATACAAAAATCCCATCTAAGGCATCTTAACATGTACAATAGCAATCAACATGTGCAATATGTACTGTATATGACAGAACGGCTTAACATACAAAATACATAGCCCAACATAAATAAATATGATCAGGAGATAGGAAAAATCTCCCTCCTCTCAGCCATATTACGTTCTGCCGCCCTCACAGCAGTGATGAGCTGTCATAATGCTGTCACAGTGATGAGAGCACAACACTGTGTAGGCTTGTTGTCAGGTTACTCTATAATCAATTTGCTTTAAATCATGCATTTTAGTTTCTATATCTTCCTATAATAACGCGTGTTCTGGTTTGTGTATGAAGGCATTTGTCCTGGTTATAAAATGGTGGTTTCAAATAAGTCCATTATAGAAATTTGAATTGTATGACACTGTGCCAATTGGTAAAGGCTTTGTCTTATGTCATCTGGAGATTGCAGACATTTTTCTAGGATAATGCAAAAAACAAACACTAAAAACAACAATTGGGAAAACAGGGTCACAGTGCAAATGCATATATATTTAATATATGATGGTGAACTAAGAAAAATGCGAAATAAATGTGCGGATCAACTAGTTTAGACCTTACAGTGTTCCTTGAGGAAAATTATACACATACAGGTGATATTATCTGCTTCATCTTGTTCTCCTTTTTTAAACTGTTTTACTCCAACTTAATAATGCAGCAAAAAATTAAAAATCTGTCCAAAGAACAGTGTTTAAGAGGTTACAGTACATGATGTACAGCATTTTTATAATTTGCCTAGCAAGGGGATATATGCATATACCATGCTTCTCTTTGTTGAGTCTGCTTGATGTTTATATATAATTATACTTTGGGTAGAGGGTCCAGCCACTTAACACAAAAGCATAAAGCTTTCAGAGCATGACCAGCCAGCAGCAGCTCACTCACTGCAAGTGATGTTTTAAGAGATGCTTGTAAGAAAAATGTCTTAACCTCTTTGATTGGTTAATGGCAAAGCTGATCCAATAACACTACATCATCAAATAGAACAAAAAATGTCACCTCACAACAAAATATGAAGGTTTTAGCATCCTTTAGTGCGATATTATTTGTAAATAAAAAGGGAAATAGTCACGTAGGGCCACAGACACCAGGAAGTTGCTACTTGTCAGCCCTGTTTATGTCAGCAGAGCTCTGGCGGCGGCTGGACTTCTCATACCGCCGTGAGTGGAGGCCCTGTGGGGGGTGCATTTGGTCACGGCCCTTGTGTGTGTGTGCAGCTCTCCCCTGTGTCGGCCTCTCAAGTCTGACCATGTCGAAGGTTTTCAACAAGCAGCTGCTTTTTGTCCAATCAGATAGAAGAGGGCACAGATCAGTGGTGAATCAGAGCTGCCACCTCCTCATGCTTCATGGCTGCTAGCATTCACTGTTCTATATTTCTGTATAAAAAATATATTAAGTCACAATGAATAAGGTCCTGCAAATCATCACTTTAATTTTTACCCTTCCCAAAATACCACATTCATTTAAAATAGTTATACTTATCCTTTATTTGTCCTTATTCAAATGTATTAACATTTCTGATATCCCTTCCTAGATATCCTATTCTACACACTTAACACAACTAATTAGTTTGGAACAGATCCTCTAAAAATAGCCTCTGATCCCTCCAATATGGTGAACCATATGGCAATTGCAATATCAGTCGAAATAAGCGCATTTAGTTATTTTAATTCCAAACATCGCAGCGCTACCAAAGACATCAGTCTACAAACAAATAACAGTGTTGTACTGTAGCCATGGAGTCTCAGCAGTGTGCAATCCTTTTGGAAAGTATGACCTTTTCTGAGTTGTACCCCTGTCTAATTAATTAGTTGTTGACATTCCAGTCATTCAGCTGAGTCGCAGGGGCCTCCAGATGATACTATGTGAGGAAACTGTAAAAAGGTCTCTGTGTGCTGGTGGGACCACAGCAACAATGCGTCGGTTGCCTCTTAATTCCATTAGGGCCATCTTGTTGGTCATTTGTATTCCGGTTTAACAGACTGAAGTACTCTCCACATATTGTAGGAAGAGATGTTTACTGATAAGCAGAATTAAAGTGCCAGAGCTCTCCGCCGAGTTTGACGTGATGTGCTTTCCCAAAGCGTAAGTGTGAAAGCGAGCGCACGTATCAAAGCTCCAGTGGCTGAAGCTGACAGACGAACTGAAGCGATGTGGAAGGAGTACAAATAGATTCCTGCTCACCTTAGTCTTTTAAAAGTATTTTCTGTCATTGACAAAACAGTGGTGCTCCAATGATTTGACAACTCTGCGAGGTGTGACTTTAAATCCCTCTACTAACACTGGTAATGCATCTCAAGTTTTATCCCATGTTTATTTCCCTGAAAGTAGTAGAAAATGTTTTTCTGACCATAAACGGACAAATGAATATAAAATAATGAATTTATCAGGTGATTTATTAGGTTCTTGAAGATATTGATTAATCTGCCAATTTGCTCTCTTAGTTGATAGATCATGTCTATCAAATGTTAGAATATGTCAATAAATGCCCACCATAGAGACCAAGGTGACAAAAAGGCCTTATTTCTTTTCTAGAAGCCCAAACCAGAAGATTTACAATTCGCATAGGACCAAAGAAATCAGGAAATCAATTTTTACAAGTTGTGCTAGCAAATGTTTGGCATTTTTGCTTAGAAAATATACTCAATTGATAATCTAAAAAGTTAGAGATGTCTTAGGTTTGCACTGTGAACCAAACAATGTGAAAAAAGAAAACGGGAAAATAAGTTTGCAATGTTTACAGTTTTTAGTAGTGCCTTTTTATGAATGACACACCATCAGAAACAGAGTGGTTTAACACTTAGAGCCCTGTTGATGCACACTTCCTGATTTTATAGAAATGTAATAGGAACACATATGGGACATTGACATTTATTTGGGTTTCCTATTCAGAGGCACACTTTCTGGTCTATTTAAATCACGTTTTCCATTTGTACCAGTCCTGCGAGTATGTTGTTTTCTCTTTGCTTTGAGATGACGGATGAGGAATGGTATCGGCTCCTGCAGCATGATAGTGACTCAGTCTTTGCCGGGTAGAGCAGTCTGAAGGGCCTGGCCGGACGTCACACACTGACAAACACAGATTGTGTCATGACCTCCAGCGTGCTCGGGCGTGACCTCCCTTAGCCCGCTCCCCGAGATGTTGTGTAGAATCGTGCTCCCTAAGGAGGTGTAAAAATTTGTGTCAAAAGAAGGGAAAAATGTGCACAACATCAAGTGTGAATGACAGGGAAGGGAATATAAGATCCAAATTAAAACAGAAAAATGAAAGTGTTGCTGAGATTAAACTACAAAACTCTTTGAAAAACATACAAACCCACTCTTCCTTCTCGGATAGTAACTCAGACTTGGATGGATTTCTTTCTCGTCTGTGTGTCAGGAACTTGAGGAGAATTACCAGCGGGCCTACTCTGAAGCCCTGACGGCTTTTGGGAACGGAGCCCTGTTTGTCGAGAAGTTTCTGGAAAAGCCAAGACATATTGAAGTACAGATCCTCGGTAAGTGCACTCCCCTCTGTGTTTGCATTTTACTATGTGTCCTTTCATAGCTGTGAATCAATCTAGGTTCATTAAGACGGCAAGTTGGATACAAATCCTGTGTGGTATTGCTAAGGGAGGAACATGAACAATGAGACTGAATGAGCTTTATTGGCCAGTGGAGGATTCTCCAGCCTTTGTTTCCTCCTATTAGTGAACATAACTACCACTCAGTTGTATAGAACTGAAATTCAACACTGACACTTACAGGAAGTCTGTCTGCACTTCAGACATACAGTTTATTGTACAGTGCATGCTCCAGCATACATTACTGTAAGAGTTATGTTATCAGGCTCATGTCTGTCTGTGGTTTGAGTTGGGTTTTCTTCATGTTTCAGCGTTCACCGAGCTGTATTTCTCTGTGTGTGCTCACTGTGATTAATCACTGTCTTTAGGGCATGTCAGGGATTTTGTGAATTTTGTGAATTACCTGTTAAAGCCTTGTCTTTGCCAGCATCTCCTTTTCTGCCTTCCTTCCCTCACTCCCTCCTTCACTTTTGACTTTTCCAGTTTCTCCCCTTCTTTCTTGTTTCATTCCCAATGTCCATTTATCATAATGTAAATTCCTGTTTCTTATACTCTCCTGTACTTGAATTCAACCTCTTCTTTTTCTTGATACACTCGATTATCTTCTCATTTTCTTTGTTTCTTCCTCTTTCCTTGTCTCACCCACTCCTCTCTTTGTCTTTCCCCAGGCGATAAATATGGAAATGTCATCCACCTCTACGAGAGAGACTGCTCCATTCAGCGGAGACACCAAAAGGTGAAGTCCCCTATTTAACCCGACTTAATGTTTGACTTTATTTTGAGATTATCTTCGTGGCATTTCTGTTGTTTGTCAGAGATTAGCATGAAGTGGATGGGGGGCATTAAAACAAAGGTCATATGCAGGATTCTGATGAATATACAAGAGTGTTTTATATACATTTCCTTATTTAGGATCACAAACAATTATGCTACACAATAATAAATACGGTAATTATGCTCCAGATTATAGCAATGATTATTATGGCATTAGTGGCCCTGGGTATCCTAGCAGCAGGGGGTGAGAGGATTATGAAACAATGACAAAATAACCACTGCTAATGCTGTGAGATGGAAGACTTGGCAACAAATGAAGAAGCTCCATAATACTCCACCAACTTTAATCAACCAAAACACTTCATAAGTATACAGCTTTAAATTGATTGTCATTTATTAGCCAAGGCTATTTTTCTGAGCTGGCACTGGAAATAAATTAGCCCAAAAAATAAGGAAATTAAGTTTCAGAGCATGACCTGCTTGTCAAAAACAACAAATAAGTCTAAATACAGTGAGAGAACATTTTGAAATGGTCATCTAATAGTCACTGCTTTCATCAAAGGAAGCTGATTAACATGTGTAACATTTCATTACATATTGTCACTTCAAAGCGTTTTCAATCATGTGTTTTCATCACTTTCTTCTTCTCCCCTTTAATCGAATTACAGAGGATAATCATATTAGCGGCTGTGTTTATGCAAGAGCTGCTGCTCTTTGATTCCGCCAGGCTTAATCTGCCTCTGCCCTTAATCTAAGATCTTTTTCAATCTCAGAAACAAGAATAGTCGCTTGTTGAAATAGATTAGGGATGGTGGAGCGCTGATAGGATATTTTTAGCTTTTTTTCTATATCTTGGAAATGCTCACAGACTTAGAAGTTGTTTTCGTGGGATAACATTTGATTTGATAAGTTGAGTCGTTTCGATTTTTCGGAAATCATACATTTAATTATTTATTTCGGTTGGGTTGACTTGTTTTGATCCAGTTGATTGAAACAGATCAGTCTCGAACACGGCGAACCCCACCCACACTGCAGACCCAATGAAAGATAAATGTGACTTCAAATGATTCACTCCATCTGTTTCGCTGAAGCCTGGCACATACTTTATCAAACTGATGGCTACTACCATAAAACACATTATGGGATTTACTTAATATAAGTTTGAAGCCAACTGCAGTCTGTGGTACTTTTCTTTAAGAATCATAAACTGGGATACATTTGAATATTTCCACATTATGCTATATGCTTTTAAACCTTGATTGATACCTTTTGTTATATTACAAATAGATTATGTAATGATAAAGTGATGAACCAATAGAGATTTATAACACTCTGCAGTTCTCTGAAACTCTACAGTGCAATTTAGAGTCTTTCAGCCCTAGTATCATGACCTTCAACAATATTGTTTTGGTTCACTCTTAATTTCGGTTTCATTTAATTAAATTTGAAATGTAATCCTGAAATGCATTAAACATAACAGAATTCAGCTTCTTAGGCAAGCTTGAAGTTAAGAGCAATAACCCTAAATGTATGATAATTTAAGACAATTTATAAAACAATTAAAAGATACTAATGGAAGGAAAACTAAAGTAATGTAACATCCATCAAATGAAATGAATACAGGTTATAATAGCATGGCTTTTCAGAGCTAACTAATGCATCGTGACAGGCTGTCTGTGCAGTTGAATAATGATGTCCTATAATTGAGGTGTGATGTGTCAAAAGCAGCACTAATACAATACATTATGAATGAAGCTGTTGGATTTGTTTGTGTCCAACCTTGAGATGAAATGTGTACATTGTTATTATTTGTTGTTTTCAATGTTGCATTATCAATAAAGTTGTGTTTTGAAGGTTGTGGAAATTGCACCGGCGTTCCAGCTGGACCCTCACCTGAGAAACCGTCTCCACTCTGACGCCGTGAACCTCGCCAAAATGGTACGTCAGCAACTCCACTTCCTGCTCTCTTTCCTGTTTTTATTTCAATATTTCACATGCTTCCCCCTCAGGGTTAACTACACCACTTCATTACGGGGGAAAAAGTCTCCTAAATGATTTGAAAGTTTTATGACAGAAGCTCTACTTAATCACTTTTTAATCAAGGGTACGCAATTTATATGCGTGTATTAAAATAATGTGAAATATTCATGTGGCTGTGGCAGGATGTTAGGCAGCTGATCACTAGGAAGCATATTTCTTCACAGTTGTCGTGGCAGGTGTCTGCATGTTGGATTTGCAGTGTTAAATGGTTTTTACCACTTGTTAAAAAAGTTGGCGGACAGGAGGAGAAATGGCTCTTCTTGCTCAAGCATTGGGTTGTATTTAGAAAATCTGAGCAAATTTTCATAATACCTTTTACATTTGTCTGTCTATGAAACAACTGGATTCTCCGCAGGGATTTTAAAGTGCTATGTACCTATGATTCAAATGAGGGGGATATTAGTGCTGTGCCAAGCTGTGAAAATTCAAATGCAATGTAAAAATGGGGGGGGAATTAGGTTTGAAGAGTGCAGGCAGTAAATATAACTCCCGAAATGAGTGTTTGAACACTTATCGAGTGCATTTGTCAAGAATAATTATGATTATTGTCACCAATAGGTGCTTTTGCTACAGTAAAACCTTAGCCTGCAAAGTGGAAGCTCACCGTGTCACCGTTGCTTTAGTATAGCTGAGAAGTTTGCCCAAGTATGACAGCAACACTTGAAAGTGGAGCCTCATCTCTCAGAGCAGATTTCAGGTAATGGCCCAGTTGAGGAAGAAGTCAAGTGGGAAGAGTGGGAGGAATAACCTTGATGACACTGGAGGAGAAATGCTTCTGCGAGAGGGAGAGATAGAACTTTTATGCTGCTCTCCGTGACCTTGCTTCAGTAGTAATCCTTTTTGCAGTAATCAAACCACAACATCACCAAGCTTGTCTCCTCGTGTGTGTGTCAGCGGCCACACACGCTTGTCCATGACTTTGCTCTTCGTACTTCACACTCGCCTCTTACTATTCCTTTGTGGACTTGGACTTTCTTCCGTATCCAAACCTTGAATTTTAAATGAACTGTATCATAACGGTGTCTTTTTGTAGTCAGATTTCAGTGTTAACCTCCCAGTTTTTCACAGGTTCCTGCATTTCAAGGCTGTGTGCTCAATTTGCAACTATAAGTGTAAAAGATGAGAGACAAAAGGAAGCCTCTTGTTTGCAAATATTCATATTTTATCACACCATAAACAAAAGGAAGATGATAAGAGGATGTTACATTGATGATGATACAGGGAAAGAATAAAGGCATGAAAATACAAAAAAAGCAGGAAAGGAGTTATTTTATGTTATCTCTGACGGATCAATTTTTATATAGAAATATTATCATAGATATTCTGCTTCAATGGTAAGATGATGTGTGCCTGCAACTGAAATGATTTTAGAAAAGATCATCACGAAAGCTAGATATTTGCCAACATGTAGTGCCAGCAAAGAGATTACCATGATCATTTTTATAGATTTCTAATTAAAATGAGAATAATGAAGCACATTTATTATTCCATCCAATATCGTTAATAGTATTACAAATGAGATATTTTGTCCCAATGGCTCAGCCCTAGGTGAAACATCAGATTGCTCCATGAGATCAGTAAAAAACTGATTCTGGCTCGGGTTAAATTCTGCAGATTATCCTCACCAGGGGATTTCCTTTCTCCCGGCCTCATCCTCCATTTTTCTTGCTCCAGACACTCCCCTCCCCCTCCTCCCCCCCTCCTCTCTCCCCCTCCTCTCTCCTGTCCCTGCTCTGTGTTGTGATTGCGTCTCACATTGTGCCAGTCCCCACCGTGAAGGCTTCCACTTCAGAGCCAGACCATACTCCCCCTGCAGGTATTGAATCCTGCTCCTTGATCAGCGCTGATACCGAACTCTGGAGCTTAGTCGGGTTTTATTCCCGCCTGTGTGTGTGCTTGTCAAAGCCGGTCTGTTTATACTGTGAGAGACGGTGCAGGGCCACATTCATTTTTAATGTGTTCTGTGGGCCTTATAGAATAGAAAATGGTGGCAGTTATTCTGGGTGCACTAACACTCACATTAACAGGTACATGATGTCATCTCAAGTGGCCAGTTTTCCAAAGTTGCTATCTTTGTGGTGATATACGGACACAAAGTTTTTACGTGCTGCACTTAGACATTTGAATGTGCCTTGTCTCATTAGAGGCTTTTACTTTTGTATGAGGACACCTACACAGGCCTTTTTCTCATATCAACTCTCAGGGGAATGGGTTCAGCACATTTACCAAATGTGACCCATAACCCATCACACATGCAGTCCACAGAAGAAGATTGTCGGTTTCAAGAGGCCCTATTATGATTTTTGGGGGCTTTTCCCTTTCCTGAAGTGTGTTATATAGGTTTGAGTGCATGTAAGTGCATGTAAATGGTCTGCAAGGGCTAAAATCCCAAAGTTCCCTCAAGAGGGAGTTTCTCTCCCACACCCACCCCCCCCCCCCAACCCCCTGCCTGAAATGCCTCCTTTGTTTACTTCCGTAAGATTTTGCCATCACTATGTAACACCTGCAATTCTATTGGCTAGTGCTCCAACACTATGTACGTGATAGGCTAAGGAGCAGGACATCTCTAAGCATATGACCAATCACAACCGAGTCAGCCAGCTAGCCAATCAGAGCAGACTGCGCTCTGTTTTCAGACAGAGGGTGAAAAGAGGTGCTGCAGCACAGGCAGTATGAGAAGAATAAAGAGCTTTTTGAACATTAAAGCATGGAAACACAAAGTAGAGCCACACAATACGAATATGAGCCTGAACATTTGTATAATATGACCCCTTTAAGTAGCATTCTCACTTACTGGAAATACTCAGTTTTGTTTAGTATGGCTAGGGGTGCAGGACATGCCACAGATTACACAACCGTTGCAAACCGTCTTGTTTTGTGGTCATGAAAAACACTGTTTCTTGACATTTGTTTTAAGGCTTCACCCCTTGCAGACAGACGTTGTTAGATCGCATTGTTCCTCCAGTAAGAATCTCGTTGGCTTCGTGACCCTTCTTCTTCACCTTTAGATGTATTGTTCCGGTTTCACACCAGCTGCAATATAAATGTCATCAACTCACCCCACACTGAATTCTACGGATAATAATACTCACTCGGAGCCTAATCCGGACATTACACTGACCTTTACTTGGGAGCTGCGTAAAGTCTGTTGAAGGTTAGACGCATGATTCAGACATTTGCGTTCTCACATACTGCCAAGTGTGAACAAAATGTGTGAAAGTGGCTAACAGACACAAAGTCTCCCATTTGGCACATGGAATAATATTCTGGTTATCGTGGTTCTACACATTTATCTCCTCCTCCCCCACACACCTGCTATTTCTCAGCTCTTATCTGGCCTTAATGGCGACTACATGGTGCTGCTGCCCGGGCCCCCTTCATCTCTCCGTCTGCGCATATCGACCACATCTTCCATTATCAGCAGCCTCCATCTGAGGCTTTCACAGAAACAGCCATTCTTTGAACTCGCAGCACTTCCTGATAGAAAGTGCTAGAGAACAAAGTTGCCTGGCAACACTGACGGCCGCAGGAAGTAGCTTCAGCTCTTGGAAGAAAAGGGTTTGAGTGGAAATCAAGCCAGAGCTCGCAAGAAAGAAATATTGTGAAACGGACCTTTGTGTTATCTACTGCTCAGCAGATTTTGATGTAAACTTGACTGTGAATGGTTTTCTATTTTTCTGTCTTCATTCTCTGATTGTCTGTCTTTGCTTTGTTGTCTTTGTCGAATAACTGACATTTCCTTTTAACACATGCAATATCTCAGCCTGTCCTGATTAGTGTTTAATAATGATGCATCTCACTATAGCAGCATGAGGTTTCATAATCAGTGATTGCTGATTTGGGCGCTACTTTGCCTACTCATTAATCTCTGCGCTGCACGGGATCATTTCAGCTTTTGATCTCTGTGTTAGGGATAGGACTATTCAGGATTTGATATCTAAGATCTGTCCTATCTGTGCTGAAAACAATCTATATGTATCCATCTGTGTCTTAACAAAATGTAAGGTAAAGTGATTTGTTAAGTATAGTTTTGACAATATCTTTTAAAGATTGTCTGGATTATATCCCATTTGTTTTGGCCAGGATAATCATGAAATTCTGTTGAGAGGGTTCAAATGCACCATGGTGGACAATATTGGCAGCAGAAATGGCTCTACAGAATTTCCAAATCTGTTTCTGTCACTATGGTAGTGTGATATCTTAAACTTGGTTGTCTCTTGAGGTTTCCTTTGGACATTGAGATTGCATAAAAAAAACTTCTCCAAAGCAGATATAGCAATATCACTCTTCTGTTAGCCATATCTAACATGTTTTTATCTGCACTGTGCTGAACTGTCTCACCCACTCTTTGGGCTTCTTCCAGTGGATCTTGGAGCCGTCTTTGTTGCAGTTTGGCAGCAAGTTTCCGAAACGTTTTCAAGCCTCTGTATCGTGATTGGGATTTGGCAGAGAAAGCTGCTGTGAAGGAGTATAATCAAAACATGAGCGTTGGACAACATTATTAAACTTTTTTTAAGAGAAGGAATTGAAATGCAATATTTTCACTGATTCTACAGTTTGAATTTGTACAGCCCCATGTTGATCTGACGGCAGGCCCGGCCCATGTAATGTCTTCAAAAGCTGGAACGGAATCAGTTTAAAAGCTAGTGTGAGGATACTACTATGATCTGAAACAAAAGGAATCTATTGGTACCAACCTTGTCAAGCTATCTTGTCAGTACTACTTCTGAATAATGCACCACATTTGGGCAAACCACGAGTCTCCCCTTTACAGACATTTACAGATTAATGATTAGGACATCAGTGCTAAGCTTTAACTCAAAATAATTTAGAGACGGGCTGAACAAATTGGGGAAAAAAACCAATTTGCGATTATTTGAACTGATATTGCAATTGCA